TACAACCGCAATGACTGATCAACAGTTCCTGCAAGCAAAAAATGAAGGAAAAATTCCAATGCTTACGTCCATTTCTCCGGCCAGGTTTGTTTAGCCTGTCATTTGGACGGGCAGCATCGGAAAAACACAGACAGTTGCTAAAACTCGGCTCGGCTCGGCCGTTACTCTAACCTCCTCGCTAACGCTATTTCACGGCGAACTTCGCCCACTCCGCTGACACTCTGTCAAGGGTGTGGGCTGCGTTACCTAGTGTACGGACACTCCGTCTACCCTGTCTACCTCTTCCCCCCTACCTCCAACCCCTGCCGCCGGAACCCCGCACACGCCCTCCTCCCTTTTCCTCTACCGTCACACCATCCGCAGCAGCAGCGCACTTGTAACTGTGGGACAAGCTGACCTGAAAAAATTGTTCGCAAATCGTGTATTACGCCGCCCGGGCCGAGCCAAGTTTTAGTAATTGCCGAAAAAAAACAAGCTAGATAGAATGTTGGTTTTTTAGAGCCAAATTGACTACTTACACCCAAATGTTATTGAAGTTTTTCATGCAGGGTACACGAATATGCAAAGTTTTGTTTTTTTAGGATTTTGGATTTTTTTTTTTTTTTGATTTTAAAAATCGTTTTTTTTTTGGAATTTATTGAAATCGATTTTTTTAAATGTAATTTTTTAGAATCCGTATTAGGCAAGAGGTTTGTCAGAAGCGTCAAACTGCTCGCGAACGGGCTTTGAACAGAAAACGCGGTTTATGCTAATCATGCGATTTCGCTTTCCTGTTAGGATCACCTGCAAAAATTTTAAAATTTTCCTGTACTGCCCGCTCTGTATTTTGGGCTTTAAGCTGAATCGGACCTTAATTCTACGATAAACTCATTCATCTTATTCAGAAATTGACTTGACAGAAATCAAAATTACCTGAAATATTCAAAAATTTATCATATCTGAAAAAAAATTTATCACAGTACTTATACATCATTCACCAGTAAAATTTATCCAAATTTGGTCATCTGTGCTGTTAAAATCAGTCATTTTCTTGTTTTCTCATTTCTGTACATCACAACATACCCTCT